TTTACAAACAGCCCTACAAACATCCTTTAGGGATCTAACATTTTGGTTATCACCGATCCTCTGTGTTAGTACAAAAAAAAAAAAACTGGTTTTTCTAAGTCATCCCTGAAATCAACACTCAGCATTCAGAACCTCTAACTAGACCTCCCATTTCAAAGAGGCCTCTCAGGCAGGAGGTCTGGGTGTTCTCTGCACACCCCAGTCCTAACTACTGATGTTGATTTTAACTTGAGCTTACTGGGATACTACAGTCGTACAGTTGAATAGAAAACGAGGTGTCATGGGCCCAGAGTTCCCAGTAATCACCCAGGACCCCAGAGTAGGAACTACCTGCCCCAGCTCTGCTCCCCCTCGCAGCCTTCCCTCCAGCGCCTGTCCCAAGCTAGTGCACGGCTGACCTTCTCTGCACCTTGTCCCAGCAGTTAGCTCTGGCTGAGCACCTTTCTCAGCACCCCTGCTCTGAATCTCACCTCTGATATCTGCCTTTCCTAAGCCACCCTTCCCTCCTGAAAACGCGCCTCTGTGGCTGCTCTCACAGTTAAGCAACCTTAGAAATGTGGTATCCTTTCAATCCACCTGAAAGGGTCTCAAACCTAAGACTAGCACGGAGTATTATACATATACCAGTGTATTGTCCCTTACTCTTAAAAGCAGGTATTATTGCAGTTATGTTATCATTCTCATTTTTCAAATGATTAAATTGAGGCTTTGAGATACTAAGAAGTAGCGAGTTAGGATCTGAACGCAACTCTGGCTGCCTCCAAATGTGCAATTACTTTCTGATATAACCAAAAGGGCAAAGGAGTTTGCTTCATCCCAAGTCCAACTCCAAGTGATTGGTTCTAGCTGTGCGGTATGCTGCATTGAAGAGCCAAGCTCAGACTCAGCAGAAAAACAAACCAATTGCTATGGTCTGGGCGTGGTGTACATGTGCCTCTGAAAGTTCACGTGTTGGAAACTTGGTCTTCAACGTGGCAATGTTAGAAAGTGGGACCCACAAGAGGTGAGGCCTGTTGGGAGGGCCTTAGGTCACTGGGGGCATGCCCTTCAAGGGACTGTGGGACTCTGGCTTCCTCTTTGGTGATATGATCTCTTCCTCCCATCATTGCCTTGAGGTGACACAGCTGAGTGGGGGCCCTTACAAGAACATGAACCGTGCTGTTTGTACTTCATCCTCCAAAACCATGAGCTAAATAAACCTCCTGTTAAGTTAGCTTGCCTCAGGTGTTTTATTATAGTAACACAACAACCTAATATAGCAACCATGACAGGAAGCAAGATCAGCCATGGGTCCAGAGTTTAAAAGCAAGAGCATACAAGTCGCCTATTTGCTACTTTTCTTTGGCTAGGATCGACTTTTCTCTTAATCTGTATATTCCACAGTACTTAGAACATAGTGCTTAACATATAGTAGATGAGTAATAAATGTTTATTGCTTGATAGCAACATGAGCATCCTCAATAGGCACAGCATCACAGACATCTCAGAAGCAGCCTGCAACAGCTCTGTCAGGGGTCATAAATGGCTTGCTGTCCTCTGGCCTGGCCAAGCAGCTTTCTTTCCATGAATGATTTCAAACTAATATGCATGCAAAACAAAGTGTGAAGCATTAAGGAAAATTGTTGTAACCAAAAAAAAACAATTATCCATGTTCAAAATCAGTTGGGCAGATTTTGTACAGAGTTTGTAACCGAGAACAGGCCCTGTGTGTGGCTGCTTTCAGGGCCAAACACTTCCTATGAATGGTTGCAGGCACAGAGTACCTTTCCGCCCTCGCTGCCACCCACTCCAGCAATTAACGAACAGAAAGGAAAAGAAGGTGTTTCCAGTAGGTAGTGTTTAAGTTGCTAACTACCAACATTCTCCTCTGTGCGCTTTCCTGCCCTGCCCTCCCCCTTTGGGTTTGACCCTGATTTGGGTTCCCTGCTTCCCTCCTAGACTGTCTCCTGCCTCGGGCTGGGAGTTCTGTTTCCGTTTCATCTCTTTTCCATACCTCTGGATGGGGATGTGTCCAGGAACCCAGGCCAAAACCAGCAAATTTATCATGGTGGTAATGACAGCAAGCTGCATGCTCAGTGGATTCTGCAATCCCCCTCAACCCCTGCTTTTGCCAAAACCCGTGGAGCTGCAAGATCCAGCAGATTACAGACACTGCTATCTTCACTTGATGGATGGCTCTGCTGGAAAATGCAATTAGACATCAGCCATATGGCTATTTTGGGAAGCTTGTTTGGGGAGATCTCCAAAAAATTGCCATGGGGGCAGAGGGGTAAATGTGAGTCCATTCACCGAAGCTGAGTGTGGCTGCAGGTTCAGAGCTGCGTTCAGCAACATGCGACATCATAAAGACCCAGCTTTGGCCCCTAGGGGTGCCTCCTGATTCTAAGAATAAGTATTTAAGTTTGAGGACTTTCTAGAACTCTCAGTCCTTGTTAAAATCCCCCCTTATGTACATGACTGAGCCAGGGGCTGTGGAGAACCCTCGACCCCCTCATCCCAACGCAGCTTCCCCAGGGCCTGGGGGAAGGAGCTCCCCAGGAGCAGGGAAGTGGCGATTGGCGAGGTTGAACACCTACTGTGGGCAAGGCTGAGGTTGGAGGCCCACCGTTGGAGGCAGCTTTCCAGGGCAGAAGGAGCCCAACATGCATGTTAAAGGAGCAAGTCACTCCCTGGCTAGCCCAGTGGGCAGTTCCCAGGCGTGGGAGAGGCCAAGGGTGAGGTGCCTGTACCAGACATCCAGGCACAAGCAGGGGTCGAGGAGGCCTGGGCTGTGCACGCGGTGGAGAAGAGAGCAGCTCCGTGCCCCGCGCTGAACCCAGAGGTCTCTCGGGGTGTGTTGCATTTGCCGCGGTTGCATCTCCTTGCACTGGGAGTACGCACTCACCAGGCTTCCTGAGAGCCCAGCCACTGACCGGAGCCTCAGCCAGCACCATCCTTGTGCTCCCCCGCTGCTTCACTCCACTGACAGGGAAAGTAAAGGCCACATCACACAGAGTGCAGGGAGATCCCAACTGTGGCTATGGCTGGCCCAGTGTCAGGTCATTTTCATGGTGACCTCAGGCTCACCAGTATTCTCCACCGAGCCAGGTCTCCCCTCCCCAGCTCCCCTCAAGCACCCCTGAAGCCCCTGCCCTTCCCCACCTAGAATTAGGGGGCAGTCATTGCTCAGGCTTCCTCTCCTGCAGTTTCCTCCCCAGTGGGGACACATGGAAGGCAAGGGGCAGACATGCAGGGACCCAAGCCCTCACCCATGGCGATGTGCTGAGGCAGTGGCCTCTGAGGGCCCCCCAGGGGACTGGGAATGCTCAGCAGGGAGGAAGTGGGGTGTCGTGGGTAGTAGAGGTCTTGCCCGGCATGCACAGGCCCGGTCCCCCCTCATCACCACCCCAGTGAAAGAAACCAAAGCAAACTAAGCACAGAAAGCGTGGTGTCCTGAGCTGGGTGAAGGGCTGTCCCTGCCAGTGAGGGACCGTCCTTTCTGTGCTGGTGCAGAGGACTGAGCAGCCCAATAACTGAAAGTCACAGGCAAACAGGTGACACTCGGCAGGACTGAGCCCTCCTGGACGCCTTCCTCAGTGGGACAGGCTGGACCCACATGCAAGGGAGAGGCCACCTCATTCTGCAGAGGATCCTGAATCAGCTGGGAAGTTAGGAGGTGTGACCTCTGCCTTCCCTCCCATCATACTGTCCTGGCAGTGTCCTGGCACTGTGTGAGTGACAGGTCTCCCGTGACCCCTCCCCTGTCTGCTCATGGTTTAGCTCCTTGGTCCAGCTGCAGCCTCAGAGCTGAACGATGTACTTCACCTGAGGAAAGAAATATATCAGACAAGGGAGCAGTGGAATCCTGCTCCCCGGAATCCCCAGGGGCTCATCACCCTCCACGTGGGCCGTGTGATGCAGACAGCACTGACATCCTAACAAGCAGGCTGTACCCCAGACACAAGCAGGTCAGGGTGCTGTCAGCCACCCTCAACCTGAAATCAGGGGAGGGTGGGACGAAGGCAGCCTAGTGGCCAGCACGCTCCGTTCCTCCCCGGGGCAGGACATCCCTTCCGATGATCACCCAGCTTCTGCGCCAGCACTTTCCAGAAGGAGCTCGCTGCGGTGCCAGGAGACTTAATCCACTTGAGACAACTTAATCCATTTTGAAACAGTGCTCATTGTGAGCTCTCTGCCTTCTGTTTGAGCCCCAAGTCTGCCTTTGTTTGATTTGACTTCTGCCCTCAGGAGGAAGACAAAATAAATCTGTTCCTTCATCCATATGACAGCATACAGTTATCCAAAGACAGCCATTATCTCTCTACCTCCTCTCCCTCTAACCTTTCTTCTCCCTCCATATATCTCAGGTCACCTCAAATGTTTCTCAAATGGCATAATTTCAGATCTCTCAACCATCCTAGTCACCCATCCTTTGATTCTTCTTGTGAAGGAAGCTCCCAGAACAAATACCAATTGTGATCTCAAGACTGCAGAATACAATGGAATATCACCTCCCTTGTTCAAGCCGCTATAGCTGTATTTATGCAACCTAAAATTATGTGGCTTTGTACCTACTAATCAACTGTTAAGATCATTGTCAACTAAAACTACTCTTTTTTAAAATTTGATATAGTTTCATATCACTTAAAGAAAGAAGTGGATAAATTATTGAAAGACCAAATCCTGCCTCCCCCTTCATTAATAACAGACAAAAAGAACTATTTAAGAGAGTAGGGTCCTAGCAAAGGTTATGAGTGACAGATGACAAACGAGCCCTGTGATTGAGTCCAAGAGTGAGGAATGTATTGGTGTTGACAAGCCAGCGCCTGCCCTGGCAGCATCCTCTTTCAGCACAACCCAGGACATGAATGGGGGTTGGGGCTCTCCTTGGAAGGTGTGCCTACTTCCGTCTCCTTTAATCTGTACCTTTCATTCCCCGCTTAGCTGGCCACATGCTCCTGAGGCGAGGTCTTCCTGCAGCCCACTGGAGACCCATTAGTGACTCACTCTGTCTTTGACAGGTCACCTGAAGGAGGAGATCACCCGGCGGCACATACAGCAGGTGGCTCTAGGTGAGTACAGAGCAAAGGCCACGGGAAGGGAGGTGAGGGGTGGAGACAGAGCAGAGCCCTGGAGGTGAGGGAAGCCAGGGTTGCTGTGGGCATGGCTCCCGGGTGGCCCTCACTCCCACCCCTGCTCTCCTCCCCCTACCTTCCAGCCGCCCTCATGCTGCGGCCCCTTCCACCCACATCCCCTGTGTCCACCCGCTACATCCGGGTCCCTCTCTGAGCTTTCTAGAGCCACTTCTAACCAACCCCATCGATGACAATGAATAATGAAACAGTGGCCCGTCTGCAGTGGCCTGATGTGCACTGTCCCCTTCCATCCTCTCAAGTCCAGAAAGAGAGGTGCATTTGCCAGGTGGAGGAGATTCTGCCATCCCCACCCCGGGGTCCGGTGTCCAGTGAGTTCCAATGATTGGGACCTCAGCACACTGACGTGCAGACATTAAACCCATACAGTCACATTCCAAGAGGCCCTTCACACCCTCTCACCAGCGAGCATCTGTAGAAAGCGCCTCCTTTTGATATGTGACCCAAGGAAGTCACCCATGGACCGTGCAGGTAGAGCAGGGGTCCTGCCCTCCCCAGCTAGCCGGGGCCCAGCCTCTATATCCCCTGGAGGTGGCCTGGACCCTGCAATGACCTGCAACTAGAGAAATCTAGTGCCCAGGGCCGACAGAAGGGAAACGGGACAGAGTCCTGAATGTATGAGTACTGGCCCAGTGGACCCTAGTAACTTGAACTCTGGGGGAGATTGGGTCACTGCCTTTCAGAAATACTAATAATGATAATGTGGAATCACAACTGACTACATCAGAGACAGGAGCAGCAAGCCCAAGCCACACTGGTTGGTGCTCCATGCTACCACGGCTGACCCTGGCACTGAGGGCCCAGACGACCTGCCCCCGGCGGCCAGGGGCCTGCACCTCAGGACTGACTCTCTGCTCAGTGCCTTCGCCAGCTGTCCCGGGTTAATAGCTGGTTGAGCTGGTCCCGGGCAGGCTCAATGACCTCTGTTGGAAGAGTTGTCCAGTGGACCCTCTGGGCTCCAAGCCCTGCCTCTGCTCACCCTGGGCAGGCCCCTGGATGTGGAGTCTGCCCCTAGAGCTGCCATCGGGCCCTCAAAACTCCGACCTGTCCTCTAGCCTTCATGACCCTGGCTTGTGAGATATAATGATGTGAAAAATGCCAGTCGCTCCAGGGGCCTGGCAAGCCATTCCTGTGACTTTCAGGGCAAGAGCTATTCTGTCCTCTCTGCTCCCCAGCCCAGGCCCTCCCTGACCTGACCCGTCCAGCTAGGACAGACACTCCCAGGCCTTTGGAACACCGCGGCATGTTCTCAGTTGCAACCACAGGCCCTTGTTCCCCACTCATGTCCCTGGAGACTTCTCAATATTGTGGCAGGTGCCAGGGTCATCGGGGCCCAGCTCTGCCTGAAGCAATCAGCAAACTTCAAACAGAAAGCAGCCTGGCTGGAGGTTTAATTAAGAGCTTTGGAAATGCCTGTTTGTTTTAAAAGCACACTATCCCAATTAGAGAAGAAGTGTTCACATCCCGCAGTGCCATTGTGAGACCAAGAGCCGGGTCGCCGTCCAGGCTCCTAGGGAACCTGTCTGGGGCAAGTCTGGGCCGCCAATGCGCATGTGTCCCAGCTGACCACGCACGAGCAGCGGAGCTCCTCTGGTGGAGCAAACGCTGGACACCGCAGATTGCTTACAGGGCTTCCAGACTGACCCTGCCGCAGGCCTGGGCGACGGCAGGGACAGCGCCCCTGCAGCTCCCTCGCACGTGGGCTTCAGATGCAAAGGGACTGGATGCGACGTACCCCATCCGCTCCTTTGTCCTGCTCTTTTCTGTCCTTTTGGCTCGATTTCCTTGTCTGTCTCTTCAGTTTCCCTCTCCCTCGGTTTTAAATATGCCCCTGTTATTCTCTCTTTTTTTCTCCCCACCTGCCTGCTCCTAAGTATCCATGTAGGTGTGGTTGGTTTGGGGGAAATAAATAAACCTGAGCAAATGAGGTTTTCCCATATATTTTGCATAGGAATATGTCTTTATGTAAAAGCAGATGCGCGCCCAAGGAAATAGGTACAAAGGCAATGGCGAACCTCAAAGGAACAAAGACCTACTGGTGCTGCGGGAGGCTCCGTCCGCAAGAGGTCGCGATTGGGTGATGGGTCACCAAACCCTGGGCCAGGGGCAGTCAGCTCATCTCATACCTTAGACCCAGGTGTTAACGTTTCAGGAACATGGGGAGGCGTTTTAAACATGGTTGATACTGAAAATCAAATTCTGTATGCTTAGAATTTAATGAATTTTATTTTTAAACAAAAGTAATCTTCAAGATTTGTTAATTAATTTATAACATTTAAATTACCTGCATCCACTGTACTGTATAGTGAAGAGACTAGATGATTGTCTGCTGCTGGGCACGTCTTCTCAAGTCTACTTTAGTGATGTCACACTGGTAGCTTGAAATCAGACATGGTGGAGAATGTACACCAAAGAAATTGGCGATAAATTGTTATAAAACCCAGCCTTTTGTGGGGGTAAGGGGTACTGGGGATTGAATTCAGGGGAACTTGACCACAGAGCCACATCCCCAGCCCTATTTTGTATTTTATTTAGGAATAGGGTCTTACTGAGTTGCTTAGCACCTCGCTTTTGCTGAGGCTGGCTTTGAACTTGGTGATCCTCCTGCCTCAGCCTCCTGAGATGCTGGGATTACAGGCATGTGCTGCGGTGCCCAGCAAACCAGGCAATTTTTTTTTTTGAGAGCAGCTATTTAACACCACCACACCACTGGCAAACAGACAAGTACCCCTCTCAAGGCCAGTTGTGTGCGCATGCACGCACGGGCGCACACACACACACACACACACACACACACACGGTTTTATAAGGATTTCTACTCCTTTTCTGGCTGAAAGTCCAGACCATGGCTTTCTGTTTACCACCTGCCTGAGGAACATCAGGAATTATAAACATCTACCAACCCCAATCTTTTTGAAAAGCAGTGGACAGGCCAATGAATGAAGATAGAAATAAGGCAGGAGAAGCTCCGGCCCTGTAGGCTCCCTAGGTCTGAGAGCTAGAGCTGGGGATTGAAGAGTAAGATCAGTGACCAGTTCTAAGGGCATCGTCCACAAACAAAGTGACTGAGGACTTGGAGAGACTGGCTCCCACAGACTTCTTCAGGAGACAATAAAATAACGGTGTTTTAATACAGGCATCACTTGTAAAGGACAGTCCAGAGGGCTTTGCTGAACTCCAGCGTGTGCGTGCCACTCGGTCGTCCCAGCTACCCTAAACGATAAAGGATTGTTAATAATGCAGCTGCGTTCTTGAGTATTTTACCATGAGCTGGGCATGTGTATAATTTCTCTAAGTGTATTTTCTTTAATGTTCATAACATCCCCATGAGGTAGACATCGTTATTATCTCCACTTCACAGCTAAGGCCCAGAGGAGTTAAGCAAACCTGCCTAACTCTGCTCAGCTCAGTATACAAAGCCAAGCAGCCTGGTTCTGAGTCTCTGTCCAGCTACCACACTGCACCTGCTCTGGGCACCTTGCCCAGCGTACTGGAGCCCACAGAGGGGCACAGATCCAGTGGGGCCCTCCTAGAATTTCCAACCTAACCAAAGTGAGGGGACATATACAATAGATAGATAGATAGATAGATACAATAAAGAGAGAGAGAGACAGATAGATACAAGAGCTCCCTTTTCAAATTGCAGATTCAGAAACATGTATTCTTCCATTCACTGTCTTCTTCCCACTGGCACAACAAAACCAGTTTGGCCTTGACCCCTCCGTGAAGCCTTCTCTGACCCCGCCTCCCACGGCTGCTCTTCCCCCGGCCTCAAACATCTCTTAGTGCACCAGCTTGTTTTGCAATTATTTATTTCCATAGCTTTTCTGAACACTAAAATGTGAGCTTCTTAAAAACTGGGTACAGCCGAATTCATCTTTGTATCCCCAGCAGCCAAAACGAGCAATAAATTGGTCAAATCAATGGGCAAATGAATGCTTCCCCAGATGGCTTCCAGACTCACACATCTCGAAAAAGTACAATGAGACATTTGAACATAAAATAAAATAAGTCCATTTAAAAGAAGTAGAAGGAGTAAGTGCTTTTGGACCCCACAGCTGAGCAAATTACACACACAGGCAATAAATTTGCCTCTCCCTCGTCTAGCCGCTAAGCAAGAAGAGAAGCACCCAGAGTTACATAGCTTTCGTTTTCTGACAGGAGGAAGCATACTGACTAATTTATCTGCAGAAATAGAATTTCTTCCTGGAACTAAACACAAGCCAGAATTTATCGTGTGGATCCTTGTGTAAAGGACACTGAGTGACACAGTGAACGATGTCTTCAGCTGCAGTTTTACAAAAGCTACCAAAATGATGTTCGACCAGATGATTCTCATATCGACCCTCGATAAAAGCTAGAGGCCTGACATTAAAGCATAACTCATGGAAAACGTTTATGCGAGCAGCCGAGATAATATGACCCAGGTACTCTGCTTTCTGATGGTCACACATAGCAGGAATGAAACTGGAAGAATCCAGCGCCAGGAATGTGGGCTGTGGCCTTTCTCTTTAAATCTCTCTCTGAGCAATAGTTATCAGAGACTGCATCTTGTTCAGTTCACAATCAAAACTCTAACAAATGCCTATGGTGAAGATTTTAAAGACACATCACACTCCCAAGCAGCATTTGAAATGTGTCAGGTGAGAGGGACCAGCCATCAATTTTGGAATGGACCACAAGGAATGGCCCCTGGGGCTTGTCACCAACACTTTGGGCCTGGGCTGAGTCTCAGATGGACAAGGTTCAGAACCCCAGAGAAGAGTGTGGAGTGGTTGAGGGTTGGGGAGGTGGGCTGGTGGGAAGTATGTGGTGTGGGGGGTATAGGTATAATGCACATCTCTTTGTGTGCCATGTGCATGTAATATGTACTTGGGTGTGTGGCACATATGTGGGGGGGTGTTGAGGTGTTTGTGTAT